AACAGGATTTTCTTGAGGCTGATGAGGCTTTACAGGCAGGTGATACCATTCAGGAAAATAAATTTCTGTTGCTATCCTCACCCTGTAATCTGCTGTAAAGCTAAGTAGTATATGATGAGTTGCTAGAGAATTAATATGTTCTTTCTAGTGGCCCAGTTAGGAAAAAGACCAAATGGGGAAAAAAGGACATACTGTACTGAAAAAAAAATGGGGGAAATGTTGGTAAAACAAACACAAATGTTTGATTTTTCCCCTTTTCAGTGCTTGTTTTTTTGTGGATATGCAGCTAAGTGGTGAGAATATTTTTATTAATTATGAGGGAGTAGTGAGTGCAAGTGGAAAGAGGAGTTGTACGTTAGGCATCAGTTGTGGCCTTAGACCTTTTGGGCAATAAAAGTAGCTCAAATTTGGTGTGTGGGTGGGATTTTCAATATAGCTCAATGGGAATGTAAAGAACAGTGTTGCTTGTTGGTGGATATAGCTGCTTTTCAGAAACAGGCTACTGGCATTCAAGCTTGGTCTCATCTGTCAGGGTCATTTCTTTACATCCTTGAAGACTTTCTTAGGAGTTTGAATGCCTGAAATGCACATATAGCAAACTCTCAATTTAAAGGACCTGAATTAGCAAACTTTAGATGCAACTGGCAAAATCTGTCCATATATTGTATGCTTCTGGTCCTGCCTAGAATCCCATCTGGAATTAGTGGACATTCTGCTTTAATAAATATCCCTTCCTCTTATTACTCTGTTAACCAGAGGATTTACAGGATCCCCGTGCGTTTTGTAACTTTAGTTGGGGAATCAGAATTTCTTGTGCCGTACTTGGCAGTATGTCGCGTAAAGTTTGGCATTCGCTCTCTTGCTGGATTATGTTCCAGTGAACTTTTGGGGGTTACTGGTACAGGAGAGGAACAGAATGAATGTCCAGAGGGTCAGTGAGTGTGTTTGCTGCCCCTCCCTCCCTCCTCTTTTCTGTCCCAGCAGCTCCATTTTATGCAAGGACCCATCTTTGCCACTCTACAAACCCTATCTCCCTGGGGCATATGTGGCTTTCCGTGGCGCCTTTGCTCCGTGAAATGCCACGTGATAAACTGGTCTTTTCCTTCCTTCCCACGTTTCCAAAAATGGCTTTAGCTGTACAGACTGCTCAATGTAAAGCCCTAAAAGTATCACCTGGCCCCAGGGCAAAACCAGTTCTCTGGTGTCATCTGGCACATTTGAATAATAATAATAACCGCTTTCGCTTTCTCGGGCTTGTTAATGGCACTACTTGCCTCAACAAGAAACCTGAAGGACAGCATAAAGAAACTTCAGGCTGTCCCAGAATGTCTTTCTCCCAGCTATCCCAGGGGAGGAGAGAAACAAAGCCAAATGTTGGGGCTAGTAGTGAGTTTGAAAAAGGCAGTGCCTTTATTTATTTATCTGTTTGTTTGTTTCATTTAAAAAAAAACACCGTACAATAACCACCGTTCGCTGGGCAGTTTACAATGAAGCACACTACAAAAATAAATCAAATACAGGATAAAAACACCATATGAACTAGGCATGTTTTTTTGCTTAGTATGGGGTGTGTGTTTGGCTGTTTGATTTGTTGTATCAGTCTTTAATATTTTGAGTTGGAAAGCAGTTACCTCAATTGTGGGGTACTTGTATAAACGGAGGTGGAGAAGCAGATTTGGGCAAAACCGACCTGATGGCTGTGTGCGTGCATGTGCGTGTGGAATTAGGAAAGAGGAATTTTCCATTGCTTCAAGAGCACAGTAACTATTGTTCTTAGTAGAGGGTTGAACTAGATGACCTTCAGGGTTCCTTACAACGAAACAGTTTTGTATGGGATGCTGAAACTGCCGGTGAAATGAGAGAGGGAAAGTCTGTTGATTTGGTGCCGGCTTTTTCACGCTCCAAAGGTTGTGACTTGAGCGTGGCTGGGACAGCCTTTGAACTAACTCCTCCTCTCCTGTTCCTGGAATCTCGTGGCATTCGCTTTGGGGTGGAGGGAAAAAAAAGAAGTAGGTGCTATTTTAAGAATTGGATGTTCTGTTGGCTTGCCTATAATTGCTGCTAGAAGAAAATGAAAGTGGAGCTGGCTGCCAGAGGGGAGGGGTTTGCACTGAGCCCCTTACCTGTTAAAGCAACAAGCAGCAAGAATTACCAGGCCTGACACCGCATAGCTCCCGAATCCAGACAAGATCAGCCACAAGCTAATGGAATGGGAGGAAACATGAAAAAGCAATTGCACTATGATCTTTTTTAAAAAAGTCCTGCAAAAGTTGTTACGGCAAATCTTGCAGCGAAAGGATTTTTTTTTTTTTTTTACTTTCCTATCTTAGACTGGAGCAGTTTTTAAAGTTGTTGTTCTCCTCCTCCTCCTCCTCCTCCAGTGTTTTAGTAAAACAGTGATTGATCTTTTTTGATATACAGATTTCCATTTTAGTTTTATTGCCTCTTGGAAGGGTTTTTATTTTAGTTTAGTTTTATGTTTGCACACACAAAAGTCCACGCTCTGGACAGATTTCAGAAAGATTGCAGTTTGTTTTGGTTACTCATGCTGGTTTTCTCAAGAGTTGCAATGTTTAGGAAAATAAGTGGGCTATTTTTTCTAACCTTCCTCTCCCTTTTTTCCTTTGTATTCCTTTTCCTTCCTAGATGGAAGACCACCAGGAGATCCTGGGCCATAGGCTAGACTGGGAAGTTGAAAGCTGAGTCTGGAGGAATCTTTACCCTCCTCTGTGCTTGCCCTGACCTTAGATGTCTTTGTGCTGGGAAAGAGAGGCTGAGTCAGAGGTCAAAGACTTGTGTTAACCAGACTGGGAGATTTTTCAGGATGCTGGCTATAGGCCTTTTATACCTGCAGGAAGGTTGACAGTTCTGATTTCACCACGTCGAGGCCAAGCCCCTCTGGGTGACGCCCAGACATGATGAGTGCGGTGCGTGGAATTGTGAAAAACTGCTGAGGGCCAGAGAGGCCTGCTTGGTCAGGTTCAGCATCGCATCCCTGCATGTTGGCTTCGTTCTGCCTGGTTGCCTGGCAGGAATTCTTTTTTGCCCCAGGCGAGTGGCGTTTTCTGTACAAGCCTGTACAGATTTGCCACCTGCCTCAGACAGGGGAAAAAGGTGGAAAGAGACGCTGGATGCTATGCTGTCCTTTGCCTGCTTCCTTCCCTCGCTGCCTTTGACCTAATATTGTTTCCTCTCCTTTCCACAACAGCGCTTAGAAAGGCTTCCAAAACAGGGTGGGAAGATGCAAGTCTTCTTTTTGCTCATTCAGGGGATTAAATTGCTCCTGGGTGTTTGTGATGCCATAAAATGAATGCAGACAGACACCACCACTGACCCCGACATTCTGACATTTGAACAGGCAACCTGGTCCAAAAACAGGCACTGTTTATTTTAGGGTCATTTTCTTTCTGCCTCAAGTTCGTAAGTCTCCCTGTGGCTTTGTTGACTCGTTCTTGTGGTTAGGCAATTGGTTTGTCCAACAGCCCCTTGTAACCTGCGCAAAGTGTAGATGATTTCACTGGTGAAAAATAATTTTCCCCTCTGATTTTTGAAAAAGGGGGTCTGCTGCTATACCCCAACTTATTTTTTTTGCTGGGGGAAGCCTGCTGTTTTATTTCATAACATAGGACATTTTGAATTTAGTAACATTGGTCATTTTGAATTGCAACTGAGGCTCCTGAGCTATATCTCTTGGATGGACTGTATGGATGGCGGAAGGGAAAGCTGTGTATATGAGAGCAAGAAAGGACATTGGGTGGCAGAGGGACTGGGAACTTGACCTTTCTTCATGCAGAGAATATTTTTACACTATAAAGGAATAGGGACAGGACAGTGGAAACTGCCTTATATAGATTAGATCTTCTGTCTACCTAACCTAGTAGGAATTCTTTTGCAGATCAGCCTGTGTGCATGTATTTATATTTAGAGAAGCATTGATAGAAAATTGGCAAAATATAAGTTTGGAGGTGGCAGGGGAATAAAAGCTCAGAAAAGGGAGGAGGAGAAGGAAACTTGGAAAAAGGTTCACAGATAAAAATGAAGGAAAAACAACAACTGAGGAATGTAGTTTCCTCTGATTCTTCTCCTCACCTACAGGGCCTTCAGAATATATACTTCAAGTACTTGAATGCTTGTCTTCTGGATGATATTTAATCCTATGTCCAGCCGTGTACCTTTAACATTCCTCTCGTAGGCTCTGTGGTGAAAATGAAATATCATTTTGAGATAGTCTGAAAAGAAAAGTTAGGGTTGTATCCTGAAGAACCTTAAACAACTGCCTTGTAGTTGTGTGTTCAGGGTGTATTCTCATGAAGGCCTTCTCTGGATCCATGGAACAACTGAAGATTTTATTGCTGAGCAAAGGCCCTTTTAAATGCCGTGTTTTTATAGCTGGTAAAAATGCAGTTACTTAAAATGGGGTTTTGGGTTTGAGGTTGAAACAGCTTCATCTGCTTGCTCCACCCTTTGTCCTTAAGGCCTCTGTGTGAGTGCACATCCCTGTCCCAAGATCCCTTTGCTTGCACAGAGAAACTGCACACATGTATACTTTTTTTCCTGTGGTGTCAGGCTCACAGGTTGGGCTGGTGTGCATGTTCCTGTAGATATATGTCTCCCATCAGTTGAGTGGGGTGGTGCGCTCCCTGGCAAGGGGCATCATTAAAAGCAGGACATTTTCTAACAATCATGTATTGCTGCTTAGCCTTTCTCAGGGCATGTGTTTTATTTCATTATTTCCCCCCCTTCCCTTTCTAGCATTTGTTGATTTAGCTCACTGCCATGAGTTACTTGGGGGGGGGGGGCATTTCTCCTATTTCCTCCTGTAGTCTGAGGCTTGGCTCACTTGCTTGATCTTGGCATGTGTGTGCCTTTGGGGATCTTGTAATTGAATGATGCTGATGTTCAGATGCAGATATTCAAGGGAATGGACTGTGGGCTCCTGTGTCACATTTTATCACCCAATGCAAAGGCTTGATATTTCCCTTTTTCTTTCTTCCTCCCAGGGTGGTAAAGGAAGAGATCTCAGATGACAATGCAAGGCTCCCATGTTTCAACGGACGTGTCGTGTCCTGGGTATGTGGGGTCACTTCTACCAGATTATCTACATGTGCAAAAGATGCGATTGGGGTCTCTGCAAAACAGGACTCATCACTTGCCAGGTCTTGTGTGCGTCTAACATGTCTTTAGAAGGGAAAATTCTGATTGGGGCAACTTTCTCCCATCCACGAAACATGGGTGTGCACAAGAGGTCGCAAGTACACGATGACCACTGGCTGTTCCCCCAGCCACAGCTCCAAGATGCAAGTGGGTCTCTGAATTCTTTTCAGTGGCTTACGACTTCTTCCCTTCATTTTCTAACCTCGCTGTGGTGAGCCCTCGCTTAGCCCCACTACATGATCTGCCCCTGGTCCGTTCTGAATTCATCTCCAATTGCATTCAGTGGTTTGTGATTTCGACCCCCTCTTTTGAAAGGCACCTCCATTTTTCGGCTGAGAAGCCATGCTCAGCCGCCCTGCTGAGTTGACTCTGTTTGCCAGAAAGCCCCTTGTCTGCCTGGGGCTGCGTGCCGGCTGACACAGCTTATGCACAGTGGGGTGGCCATTGTAGGCAGTTTTCTGTTTCATCTGCTGCGATCACGGGACGTCATTTTTTTCCCCCTTGGGAAAACCCCACCGGATTCGCTGCTTTGGCTTTGGCACTGGTTCCTGATTGGCCAAGGATGATGTCATGCTTTCTTTCCCCAACCGCCACATTCAGGGTGGTACCCCGCTCCCCCCCGCAAGACTTTGGTATGATTCTCCTTTTAATGTGCATGGTTCTTTCCCAGGTCTAGTGTTCTGATTCTGACAAACGGGTAAAATCTTACATTGTTGTGACAAACAGCAAGGCAGGGGGATGGCTAAAAAGTGGCTGGCCAGCAATCTGTCATAGAGGGACATGGCTTTCTCTGTATGGAAGGAAACACATACTTTAGCACGGTGGCTACTTCTACAGAGCTGCTTTTGGGGAATTGTCCCTTAGAGCTAATCTTGTCTTCTGCAGCCTTCCCCAACCTGGTGACCTCCAAACATAGGTTTCCAACTTGGCCGGTTTAGATGGCACCAGGTTGGAGCAGACTACGTGTTGGATAAATAAAAGCACACGGTTTTCTTGGTATGCTTAAAATCCCATGGAAACTCTCACTTTGTGTTTTAATTCTGATGCAAGATTTTGCACCTTGCACATGCCCAGAGTCCCTGCAATGTGCAAAGTTTCCTAATGCCTTAGCTGTAGATTCTCAATTTGTCTAGCAAACTATTAAGCTTTCTTCTCCATCCCCTTGCAAGTTAGAATTGGCTGACTCTTGAAATTTTTTAAAAAGACATTTCTTACCCACATTAGAGCATATTTTCAGGACAATAAAGACTAGATTTTTTTTTAATGGCCTATGCTCCTGTAGAATCTTGGCTTGCTAACTTCGCTGCTCCCAATCTCTGTATTTTTCCCTGCAGTCCTAGAAATTTTTCTCTGCTCTCATTTGTCTTGTTAGTCTTTTAATGAAGACGTCATTCATGCCCACCTCAGAAAACCACCTACATTGAATCCTCAGTCCCTCTTGGGGAAGCATTTTCCTGTTAGGAACCTAACAGGGAAGAAAAAAAAAAACACATGTAACATTTGCATCTTTCCTTTGATTTTTCCTTTCCTCCCTCTTTTAATTTATGCAAACCTTTTCATCAGCAAAAATGATGCCAGAGGGGTAGATGGTCCCCTGGTATTTTCCCCCCATCCTGTCAATCCACCTCTCTGACATTTCTTCCTGATGAACATTTTCCCTACAGATCAGCTCTGGGAATACCAATTTTGTGCCTTCTGTCACTGGCAGGTTTTGCCTTTAGTATTCTTTGAGCATTTCCCCAGTGGCTACTCTTTCGAAGTTGGGGAGAGGAGGGCTTGGCTGAGATGAGAAACACGCAGCTATTTTTGTGCTGAATTTGGGGGAAGGAACGGAACCTCATGATGTGCATTTAAAAGAAAAAGGCTTGCTTGGGAAAGTGAATCTGTTCTAGGTGAGGTGACAAGATAAAACAGACATAACTGGGACCTGGAGCAGCTTTGAACACAGTCCTGATTCTTGCTGCTAGAGGACCAAAGTGGCCAACTTGTTGGCTTCAATGCGTCAGCTGCAGTTAAAAATGTTGGATTTCCCTAAGTGTAATTGGTTAGTATCTGGGTAGGGCTGAAGCCAGCATGGGCAAATCATCCTTTCTTCTTTTTCTGTCTAGCAAGCCACTCAGAAAGAGACAGATGGCTCTTTCTACAAGTCAGGATAGTTGTTAACAGGGAACTTCTTTCAGATTAGGTTGTGGACCAAAGGTTGGATACCCTTGGCTTGACATCCTCATTTAACTGACCTCCTTGTCTTGCAGCTGGTCCTGGCAGAGAGCTCACATTCGGATGCCGGCTCGCAATGTGCCGAAAGCCACACGGATCTTCCTCCTCCCATTGAGCGAACTGGAGGCATCGGAGACTCTCGCCCCCCTTCCTTTCAGTATGGCTCTATTTGAACGTTTCAAAACATGCTCATTTTGCTGCAGGGCTTGAAAGCAGGCAACTTTAATAGGTGCACCCTTTCCAGAATTAACACTGGAAAATGTGGGATTCTGTGGAACGGCTGATGGTCAGGGAAGATGGGAGCTGCAATCCAGCAAAAGCCGGGAGGCCTCAAGCTCTCCATTCTTTGGTCTTCTCCCTGAGACACTGGATTTCTCTGTGCAAGGTGCCATCTTTCTAGAGAGAGGAATACACCCCTGTTGGAAAGTTTCCTACTCAGATGCTAGTTTGACTGCCTCAGTGAGAGAAGGCGTTGCATGTTATCAGATAGGGAGAAGCGAGCAAGCCTTATATTTAATCACAGGCATCATATAATGATCAGACGCGTGTTTAGATTGTAAAATCCAGCGTTATGCAAGTTGTGTATCCCTGTTGTGAAACTCAGGTTTTGAAAAATGCTGGCACCTTTGACTTTCCACATACACAGAGCATTTCCCCTTGACTAGAATATTTGTTAAAATTGTCAGGCAAAACTAGTGAAAAAGTGCTTCTGCAAAACAGTGTTGAAGAAATATGTATTGATGGGGTATTTCGGGACCTTGTCTTTAAACAGCATCTTTTCTTTTTTAAAAAAAAGTCTCTGGGTGGGGATTTGTGGTCCTGGAGATATTGTAGCTGGTCGACATCTGGAGGGCCGCTACTTTCTCATTCCTATTTCAAACATTCTTATACAGCAGTTTTTAAAAAGACAACAGTTTGGCCTGTATTCAGTTTAAAGAGTGGGAAATCCTGAGCAAAGGTGAGCCTGAAAGTTAAAAAAAAATGATTATAATAAAACAAGGAAGGTGACACTTACAGCTGATAAAATCAGGAGTTCTGCTTCCAGGACAATCTCTCCATCTTTTTTTCCCGTCCTGGGAACAGGTCACACCCTGTGTAGCGTTTCCTCCCAGGAAAGTTAGCGAGAGACGGCATAGCTTCTGTTTCCTTCTTTTACAGTGATACTTCTGCCCTCTCCTGGCTTTTCCCTTGCATGATCCGAGAAACGCTTTTGCGGTTTCCCTAACCGGCGCGTGAACTACCGAAGGCTTGCTTTTTGAGCCTGTCCACCGCATTCACCAGAATGTGGTTCACCAGGCTGAATGTGCTGGGTGAACCCAACTAACGGCAGCAGTTAAAAAAACACAGCCACCCCCAAGGAAACCGAGTTTCAGATCTGGGCTACTCCCCAGAGCTCATCCGGTGAATTGCAGCCTGCACCCCACTTATCAGACCTCGCAGTCTTTGGTTGGGATAAAATGAGTAGATGAAAAATGCAAAGAGACCACCTTGAGCCCTCCTCTTGGAAGTTGCATGTGGGCCATAAGGAATTGAAAGCAGTTGTTTGCAGTCCTTTGGGCCCCGTGTACTAACAAACTAGGAACCACGCTGCTTTTAAACAAATGATACAAAATATCCTAAAAGCAAAATTAAGGTCAGAAGAGTGACAGCAGCTGGTATATCCCTAAAAACTACAGCAGTGTATTCACTTCCACTTGATCCAGGAACTTATTTTTCTCAAAATAAATACTTTCCCCTTTTATGCCACTGTTACTTTCCCTACACAAATAGACTTGAGTATTTGTCTTCATATATTCCTCTTGGCACATGTCTGGCCTTGAAGCATGTCCAAAATTATAATGGGCTTGGCAGCAGGAGTGCTGAAGATTTATTAATCAGAAAGCGTCTGGTAGCACCTTTTCCGACTAACACATTTTGTTAAAAAGCATAAGGCTTTTGTGAGCTTATGATAATGAAGATTTATTAAAGGTTTCCATGTGAACTGTGCACCGCATTTGATGCCATCTCTTCTTCCTCTTCTCCAGCCCAAATGCCTCAAGCAGCCGAGACGGGCTGGACAACGAAACAGGAACCGAGTCAGTTGTCAGCCACCGGCGGGATCGTCACCGGCGGAGGAACCGAGAAGGCCATGAAGATGGTAAGTTGGCTCTTCTCCTTTGCCTCTGGGCCATCCCTTGGATTGGCCCACATTTCTGATGTCAGTCAGGAGCCCAAAACACCTTGCTGGGAGGGTTTGTAGAGGAGAATCAGGGTCTGGGTTGAAACAGAAGAGTTTTTAAGATGCCCAGTGAAGGTCTGGAGTGGCAGCAGCAAAGGCTCGATCCCAAGATACCTGCATGTGGTGACTGCAAGCAAACTTTCCCATAAGATCTCAATAAACGCACAGGTTTGTAGAGAAAGAGGTACTGTCTAAATGTTTAAAAATGCAGAATCTCCTTTGAGTTTAGCTCCTGGTGACTTCATGGAGCCTTCTGTGTTGTTTTCTTGGCAAGATGATAGAAGTAGCTTGCTACTGCTTTTGTCCCAGATATTTGTTTAACTTCCCAGTCTCACCTCCTGCCCTGTGATGTTCTGGTAGTCTCCCATCTCTGTATTAATCAGGGCTGACCCAATTATACTGCCAAAATCAGCGGCAAATGGCCATTTAGGAGCCAGAAGGTGAAATGGCATGTTGTTTAGGATTCTTTCCTCCCTGGGTATGTGTGGGTGCATATTTTGGCATTTTAAACATTCCCCTGAGATTTACAGGGTGTTTTATGTCAATTCCCCCAGCAGACAGGTCCTCTGCAGCCTTACTGATGAATGCCAGGATTGAATCTGAGCTACAGCCTCTCTCAAGTACCTTATAGTCTGTGATTGATGGCTTGCCTGTATGGCTGGGTTCCCACTAACGTGAGCATGTCGCTCTTTGCTTTCTTGCCGGCCTTCTTTTGTGCGAATGCAGGTGATAATCAGATTGCAGCCAGGAAAACAGGCCCTCTTCCGAACTATGCCCTCTGCGGTTGTCTTCATGCCTTGCGTCCTTTTCTTCTTTGAAGGGAGTTGCGCCATCTGTGAAGCAGCAGGCAACAGCTTTATTCTGTAATGCCAGCCTAGGTCTTGGGCACGCAGATCCTAAGGCAAGACTGCAGGAGGGGGCACATCCTTCTCCGCTGAAAAATAATTGCACTGACAGGGAGTGGGGCATATGGAAACAAGCCAGAGATGGCTGTATTTTCCTTGCGTGCCAAAATCTGCTTTTATCCCTGTTTGGGGTCTAATTAAGGGAGCTTCTGTCTGTGAGTTTGGTGGTTTTATTTTATTTTAATGGGAAGCAGTATGTCTGCTGTCACAGCAGGACTGAGGGAAGAGTCCCTCACCCGGGGTTGAAACAATAAATGCCATCCAAGGTTGGGACAATTGACCTGTTCCGATTAAAAGGAAAAGCAGAGTACTTAATTGGAAGTTTAGGAGGTCTGTTTGGAGTACTCATTATGAACTGAGGCTTCTTTGTAACTACCCCCCCTTCTGTCTCCTAAAGAGAAGCATGAAAAGGAAGGCTCTAATTAGAGAGATAATTAAGAATTGGAGTTTTGTCCAGACTTGGGACATTGGTGGGGGTCAAATGTCACCCTCCTCATTTCACCAGCCATTCTCTTGCTACCACATTTGACTGGGGTGGGCAAGGAGGTGGATTTGACCGTCTGAACTTGGAAATCCATGTTGGGCATCTCCTGAAGGCAGAGGAATCAGCAGATGGCTGCTTGAAATGTCTGCAACAAATAATGAGGCGTGACCGGTTGCTCTCTGCGTGCATGCGTGTGTGTGTGTGTGGTGTCTGTTGTATTCATGTTGTGTTCAGACCTTCTCTGGGATCCCTCCCACCGGACTCTGTGCATTCCGTTTGATGGGAAAGAAATTGCCTTCCAGATTTCTTTTTTCTAAAGGTGAAGAAATGTTATAGCTATATTTTCTTGGATGGGGTGTGGCAGCATCCCTTGCATTTATTTATCAGTGAAAAGTGTGTGTGTGTGTGTGTGTGTGTGTGTGTGAGAATGTCTTGTCTTTCAGGGCACTATCCTCTCCCCAGCTGCCTGCAGCCTCCCTGGCTTCTTACCTTCCATTCAGTCTCTCTCCACGGGGGCATTTTTAGAATGGGAAGCAAGGGCAGTTAGGCAGGCTGGCAAATGACAGCAGGCGTCTCAACCGCAACCATGACGGAAAACCCCTGATAACCTTAGCAAGTTCTGCCACCTCGCAGGGAGAAGAGGAAACCACAGAAGGGGGGCAATCAGAAGCCAGCTCAGTGTCCCTTTGGGGAGGGGGATTGAAATGCACGATCAGAGCAGGAGAAGGACACAAATCTTTGGATAGGAAAGGTAGTCTTTTTTTCCCTCTCTCCTTTTCCTGCCAAAAGATGCATGCCTGGGTCTCCTTGCTGCCTTTCAGATAACTCTAAGCTGTTTCCATGGCTCTTTTCCCAGCTGAGCCCCCTACCCTTGCCCCCCAATAATCTTCCCCTCTGACTCCTTTATCTTGCTGTCCTCTGTAGCTCTCTGTTGCAATTTTCTGGCAGACCCCACGTCCTGAATGCTTTAAGGCAAAGGGAGGTAATTTGATGCTCTGGACTTGGAGACCCAGCCAGGTCAGCTAATGGCCAAAGACTGAGGGAGGGCCACTCACAGAAAAAGTGACTTGCCCAGGTTTTTTTTTTTTAATCTTAGCCTAAGGCAAGTTGCCTCAACCTCCTTCTAAGCAGCCTAATAAACAGTGAAGGCCAGAAGGAGGGCAAGTGAGAGTCTCTTATCACAGCCTCCCTGCATCCTACTTCTGGAACTGCTGCTGGGGACACAAACACAGGCAGTAAGTAACATGTGGATCAGATTGTGTGCATTTCTGTCATTCATGCTGTCATACTCCAGATGTAGTTGAAGGGTGATGTCAAGGCAACCTGGCGATTAGCAAGGGATGCTAGGAGTTGGGGCTCAGCAACATTTGGAAGGATGAGCCCTGCTAAGTTACTCTGGCTTTAGAAGGCTCTCTGGTTGCAGACCCTTCCTTCCTTCCTTCCTTCCTTCCTTCCTTCCTTCCTTCCTTCCTTCCTTCC